AGCTTGTGCACCTTTTTCTCCGATTTGATTGTTGTCGAGATGGAGTTCTTTGAGTGTCTGTATGAAATAAGAGAGTTGAAGATGAGAGAAGTGCAGAGAGTGGCGTTTACTCTTACTGTGCTCTTTTGTAAGACTTCACCAAGAACTTGTGCACCTTTATCTCCGATTTGATTGTGGGCGAGGTGGAGATTTGTGAGTGTCTGTATGAAATAATAAAAATGAAGATGCGAGAAATGCAGAGAGTAGTATTTTGTCTCACTGAGTTCTTTTGTAAGGCTTCACCAAGAACTTCTGCACCTTTATTTCCGATCTGATTGCTGGAGAGGAAGAGTCCTGTGAGTGCCTATACGAAATAAGAGAGACGAAGACGCGAGAAATATAGTATTTTGTCTCACTGTGTTGTTTTGCAAGACTTCACCAAGCGCTTGTGCACCTTTCTCTCCGACTTGATTGTAGGAGAGCCAGAGTTGTATGAGTGTCTGTATGAAATAAGGAAGATGAGAGAAGTGTAGAGAGTAGTATTTTCTCTTACTGCGTTCTTTTGTAAGACTTCACCAAGAGCTTGTGCACCTTTATCTCCAATTTGATTGTTGCCGAGCATGAGTATAGTGAGTGTCTTTATGGAATAAGAAAATGAAGATGAGAGAAGTGCAGAAGATGATGTGTTCTCTCACTGTGTTGTTTTGTAAGGCTTCACCAAGAACTTGTGCACCTTCATCTCCAATTTGATTTTGATTGAGGTAGAGTTTTGTGAGTGTCTGTATGAAATAAGAAAAATGAAGATGAGAGAAGTGCAGAAAGTAGTATTTTCTCTCACTGTGTTCTTTTGTAAGGCTTTAGCAGCAGCTTGTGCACCTTTATCTCCGAGTTGATTGGTGGAGAGATTGAGTTCTGTGAGCGTCTGTATTAAATAGGAAAGATGAGAGAAGTACAGAGAGTGGCGTTTCCTCTCACTGCGTTCTTTTGTAAGACTTCACCAAGAACCTGTGTACCTTTCTCTCCGATTTGATTGTTTTCGAGGTTGAGTTGTGTGAGTGTCTGTATGAAAAAAGAAACATGAAGATGAGAGAAGGGCAGAAGATGATGTGTTCTCTCACTGTGTTGTTTTGCAAGACTTCACCAAGAGCTTGTGCACCTTTCTCTCCGATTTGATTGTTTTTGAGGTCGAGATTTGTGAGTGTCTGTATGACGTGAGAAAGATGAAGGTCAGAAAAGTGCAGAGAATGATGTTTTTTTTGTTATATTCTTTTTGTTTCGACAGAAGCAACAGCGCTTCGTGTTTTCTCATAGTGGTTAGAATCTTTTTGTTTAAGAAGTCTGTAACTGAGTTGATAAAAGATTGGATAACGATTTTTAACATCAAATGAGTATTCAACAAATACTAAAATACTTATTTACTAGGGACCCCTGTGAAGAGATATGATTTCATATTTTAGGGAAAACTGAGTCAATAAAAAAGGAGTAGTGTCAAACTTGACAGTTGAATTCAATTCTTCACTTCAAGTATCGAACTATTCTCTTTCTGTATCCCTCTTTCCTTCATCGCCACTGATATCCTGCTTACTCAGTTACTCCTGTTTCCCTTACTCATATTCTCCCTGTGCTCTACGCTCACTCATGTCTCCTGTGTTCTACACTCACTCATGCCGCCTGTGCTCTACACTCACCCATGTCCCCTGTTCACTCGCCCTCCCCACTGTCACGTTCTTGCAGATGGATATTGAATGCTTAAGTTCAAGTGTGAGGTGTGGCATACATGTAAAAAGTCTGGATAAGAAAAACGTTTTGGAAGAAAATTTGTAAATTTTAGTATAGTAGATTTTTTAATTTTATTATGTCTTATTCTTTTCTTTTGTTTTATTTTATTTTTCTATTTTGTCTTATTCTTTTATTTTATTTTATTTTAATGAATGGGCAGATAATAATAATAATAATAATATAGGATAGTAGGACAATGTAGACAAATGGTCATCGTCGGGTAGTCATATACGTATATGACAGTGGCGGATCTAGGATTTTGGAAAGAGGGGGACGTTTTTTTTTTGAGTATGGAAGGGCGATACCTGGAGAGGAGGGGGCGATTTTGGTTAAAAGCTATTTTTTGAGTCCAGCCGCAGTAGCGTGAACCTATTTTTTCGTTCATTTTTTCTGTTAAAAATCGAAAAAAATTCGGAAGGGGGGCAATCGCCCCCACCGCCCCCCTAAATCCGCCACTGGTATATGTATATATTTTTCTTTCCGTTCTGTCGTCTGACCAATCAGACGAAAGTTCCCTAACTGAAACTTTGTATATTATGATATAGATTTGTTACATCGTCTTCTTCTAAAGTTAGCCATTAGAAATTTCCATATGGCTGATAACAGTATCACATTTATCAGATTGATGGATTATGTACCTTTCGGATTTCTATGTTTTGTCATATGACAACTTTTGATAACTGATATGCTTAAGGCCCCCCCACCCTAAATTTCAAATTTTTCGATTTTTCGATTTATAGTGCGTTAGATAGAGCAAAGTGTCAGCTATCGAACGCACTATAACTCATTGGTTTTATGATGAGTTTTCACGACGAAAAATCGATTTTTCAGAAAACCCCCTACTCTCGAAAATAACATTTTGCAACTACTGAGGGTGAGTGTGGGTGTCAAAATAAGGTTAACGCAATACTCACACCTACACCCACCCTCTGCATGTGTCTGCTGAGCTTGTTCTAACCAATGATTTGTGAGAAATCAATGAAAAATATATTTCATTTCATGTTACCACAGAAACGTCATCAATTTCACTTCTCACGATTCTTTCACATTCTTCTCATGATGCGATTTTTTTTTAACACTTTCGTATTTCCCAAATCCTTTCGCTATTGTAAATGGTACAAAGCTCGGGTTGGTTTCAAAATGAAGAGAATGCTTCACTCTACAACTTAACAGAGCCGAAATTTCAGATTTTTTGTTTAATACCTCATGACATCAAAATCTATCACAGTACATGCCCTATCATTATCGTACGCCTTAGGAAAAACTGCAACAAAAAAAATTAAAAAGGAAAATTAAAATTCCGGCTCTGTTAAGTTGTAGTGCTAGGTTTTTGGTATATTTTAAAACAAACCCGAGCTTTCTAGCGTTTAAGATAGCAACAGGATTTGGGAAACCCGGACCCCACCATTTTGACCAGTAATCTGCAGGTAAAACTTGTTAGACTAAATATTTTGAGCTGAAATTTTTACTGTGAGATACCTATCATGGGACACAACTCCCCTGAAAATTTCAGCAAGATTGGATGTTCAGAAGCAAAAATAGAAATTAAGGTGGGGGGGGGGGGCGCCTTAATTGTTGAGAAAGTGGTCTGATCAGACGAAAACGGCTTTCTACTAGTGATTATTATACTCCTTGTTTATTGAGTACTAATAAGAAGAAGAAGACAAATTCACTTCGCTGGTAGCTACAGATTTCTACAAACATAAACAATGCTGAACGGTTTTATGTGATGAGTGAAAGATTAAAAGAATATTTTGTTTCGAGAAATTCTATTGTTTTGTTGTCTGAAAGCAGTGATGTAAAAATCAATATAACAGAAGTTCAGAAATGTCTAATTAACATTGTTGATACAAAAAGAAAGAAAAACTTTTATTTCGAACTTTATTGATTATTAGGAAAACATCTTTCAGTCATTGACCAAGGAAATACAGAAAGAAATCAATTTAAACGGGCGATTCTTCGTGGTATACAGGGAGAAAAGGAAAGAAAAGCTGTTTGATCGATAGTTTCTAAAAGATTTCGTAACTTTGGCAGAAGATAAAATGATTCTTATATCGACTAAAGGATATTGCTCATGTGAATCTGAAGAATCAAGCTTCTCATTTATGAATAGACTTCTAATGAAAATATCGATGTTTTCAAGCAGAAATGAGCTTTTAATAGATGAATGAAAAGATTTGTACAAACAAAACAAAGAATTCTATCAAATAATATAATCACTGAACAATTCGGATTATTTAGCTAAGATGAAGTTCATCAAATTGATTTCTTTGTCAAATCAAAGTATATTTTTGGAAAAAAATGAAAAGTTATTAGAATTCAACACAAACTTCTTAAGATGACGGAAAATAACAGTCACAGAAAATGACTACTAGTTTTTTCTCGAACTGCCTATTTACTTGTTTATTTTTTTGCACATCTATGTGAGAAATATAAATGATAATCTGTCTGAATGAATTTCATCTTCGTCAGTTATTTTAGAAACAAATGAAATCATTTGAATATAATCCTGGAAAACACTTTAGTAACATTTCCGTCACCACAAATATATTCCTTTTCAATACTTGGTTTCCGAGATGTAGACGAAATGACATTCATGGAAAGTGAGAATGTTTTCAATGTAGAAATCATTTATCGTCATCTGCAAAGTCTCTGTTTCTCTTAATCAATTAACAAACACCTTTTCATACAAATAGATCTTTTGATTGTTTAAGCTATCTTGAAATGAAATATATCTATTTGAAATAATCTCATCACTATTATTAATGAAATATCGATCCTTTTTAAAATATTTTCTTACACCAACCAGGTTGGTTTAGCATTTTAGTGAAAAGTGAATTGTATAATTACAAAAGTAACTATAATTTTCTCAACTAAAACAATCTCTGTTCACTTTTAAGAATCAGAGAACAAAATCAACTTCATTTTACACTTGAGAAAACAATTCAATGAGAGAATACATATCGAAGCAATTCCTGTAATAATGATTTTCAGTAGACTACTCAAACATTGTCAAGATCTGTAGATCTATAGAGAGTGTGTCATAGGATGAAGACAAAGAATTACATTCAACCACATCAAGTGTTTGCATCGGAGTGTGAATTCTGTTTCTCTACTTTCGTCTTCCGAACTAATTTTTCAAGCAAAACACTTTTTTCACATTTATACTTGGATTTCTGTTGATTAATCAAAGTCAGATGAGTTTTTTCGAACACTTCTCTTAATGTTTCTGATTGTATATAACAATAGTTGATCTGAAACACAAAAGTTGCTGTCCTTAATAATTTCCATTGATCTTGTTTCTAAACTTCTACTAAGATTACAGAAAGAATGTCAAAAGTGCGTTGTTCATCGCAACAAATGTTTCATGTTCTAACAAAGGACTTCTAGTTCTTTAGATGTTCTTCAACCTTTGAACATCTTCAAAAATTACTCGTTTCTGAACGTGAAATAGATTTAGTTTGATTGTTTTCGACAGCTATTTATTGTCGAAGTACGAAGAAAAGAAGAGTAATTCTCATAAACTCAATTCAAAGGAAAATCCCAAAGAAAATATATCTGATATAGGAAGCATGGAGAAAGAGGATACTTTTGAAATATGAGATGGATTGATTTGTATCATGGCATATGGCTTAGCCTAAGTTTCTTCAAGAAAATAATAAACGATATCTCTTAGCAATCGATTGAACTTTTCATCTAAGCTAAAAAGATTTGTAAGATACAGAATTTGTTTTTTTTATACGAGAGACAACATGAACAGTGCTATGGTTTTCGGTTAATTCATTTTTCTATATATGAAGCACTGTACCTCTATCGAATTAAAATCCCGTTCAATAACTTCTTTCAGTGACAGATTTCTTATCTCGATGAAATGACTACAGATGAATTTTCCTGGCTTTATTGGATAAGTTCAATTCTTATGATAATTAATGAATCTCAGTCAGTTTATCTATCTCTACATTTTAATATGAAGATACTCGAATGATCGATTAGAATGAGTTTATGAAGGAAAAATAAGAACTAGAGAGGCGTAAACGCAGAAAAATACATCATAAATGGTTCTAACGAGAGATTTCACAGTATTATTTTGTAGAATAAAATAGACTAGATACCAATTCTCTTCTTTTACTTCCTACGTATAAAATAAACTCATTAGTACTTACAGTATTATTTCGTAAAAGATAATAAGCCATGATATCCATGTCATCATCCGTTAAATTTTTACCATAAAAGCGCAGATAGGCTTTTTCTTTGTTCTGATCGATCATTTGTTCAAGTTCTTGATTTCTATGTGTCGGTGGTTTTGACAATACAGTGGTTGTTGTTTTTGATTCTAAATAAATAAATATGAAAAATAAAATTCAATAGTAGAACTGCATGAATAAATAGAAATTTTAGATTTCGTTGGTAAATTGAATTATTTTTCCAAATGCGTTTTGAAAATTCAACTAGTTCGAAAGCATACCGACAATATTTCAGCCAGAAGAAGTTAATTTCTTTTTTCTACTGAATTTAATACTTCTTCTATATGGGTGAATCCGTGGATACCTACCACGGTTTTGGAAAAAGTTTTTTTTTCGATTTTTTTTTTGACAGAAAGTCCTAAGCGATCCAGAAAACGTTATTC